CCTTTCTGCACAACTTTGGGTGTGTATTCCCCCAGAGGCTGGGTTCTGTATGCCTGTGTTTCAGGCTTTTTCAACATGGCCTGGGTGAGGCTCCCCTTGGAGGAGTTGGCTTCATGGATACAGCATGGTAGACACATTGATAGCATCTGCTATGCTGTTTAGTCTATATTCTACTTATACAACTGTGTCAATGTGTGTGTGTATACTGTTGGCAAATGAGTTTTGTGAGATACCCTTTGTGTGATCCAGATAGTAGAGAATGTGCTATGGTTAATGCTGGAAAAACTCTCTGTCTTTCATGCTGTACCAGTTCATGTCATTCGCCTCCAAGGGCTCTCTGTTCAGACTCCACTGTGTCATGGCATGGTTGTTGAAACTAAATGAGGATTCTTTCCATCTCTACCCTCTGTCTACCTCAAGCATCGCTGCTATCTTGTTGGCTGGCTATTACTGTGGATTTTTATCTTACAGAATTGCTATATAGCCACATGCTACCTTCCTCAGTTACTGGCCTGGTGTGTATATGTTAAAAAAAAAAGGCTACTTTTAGCTTGGATTATTGAGGAAACCTGGTAGAAAACACTTCTCTTGAGGAAGCCTCAAAAAGACATTTTGCCCATCTGGTGGGTTTCACAACAAAATAGCAGAGAGAGAAAGTGCGGGGTGGGGGGAACAGAAAGGCTGAGAGTGGTAGTTGAGGGGAGTATAAATGAGTATGCAGTGGCTGAAAGGAAAGGGCAGGTGGGAAGTGTGGTTTGAGCAGGTTTGGTTTCATTTGAATATCAGGCTGAAGGCGAGTGAGCAGCATGAACAGTGTTTTCTCAGTCTACATAAAGAGCCTAATCGGGTATGACACTATTTATCATGGTCTTGATGCACTGCGCATCCCTTCTATGAGAACTCACATTTCTGGACAGTGCGCAGTCCTTGACCTTGGACAGTGGTGGGTTTCACAGAACCACATGACAAATGAGTATTTCTTGCTGAGGCAACATCTCCTTCCACTCCCTTTCCCAAGATCACACGCAGCACATGCTACAACATTCTTCTAAATCACACTAAAATGCTCTATTTATCATAGATCCACTAGCCCTAAAGACATGCCATGAAACACACCAATACAACACTCAATAAAACGAATAGTAATGCACATGTGTCAGAGACAGACATGCAGGACAGGACACTAAAACATCTAGTAAAAAACACTCCTGGGTAATCTATGGCTCTTGTCTCCTGCTCTCTTTACCAAGCTCTCTCACCTTCACATTTTGGAACCACTCATTTTCTTCTGTAAACCCTGCAAAATTTGCATGGCCAACTGTGTTTTCAATACTATTTCTATTAAAGTAAAAAAAAAACACTAAGCCTTTTGCTTTGTGCTAATGCAACATGACATTTGCACAGTTAAATAACAGTAATTTGCAAAGATCTGTAATGGAAAAGTGAAAAGTTCCTCCACCAACTTTAACGTGCCTGCTGCAGAAGTCTTTTATGGTAGGTTTAGTATAAAAACTTGGAAGAGGAACTATTATGTGTGCACTGCACAATCAAGTTAATATTGATATTACGTGAAGTGACTAAAGCTAAGAGGAAATTGAAATGGAAGCGTGAGTACTTAAACAGTTAATAGCACAAAGCACATTTATTTATTAAAAAATGGACAAGCATCCATGCACAGTGCATCTAAATGCATCCACTCAGCCTTAATTAAATACTTCTATTATGCATTGGAAGTAGCCAGCTTTCAATCATCCAGAGCTCTGTCAGAATTCAACCTTTTTTTAATACAGGATTATAGATGTGCTCTTCAATAGCTGATATTTCTGTAGCTCTTTTGCCTTGTGAACTCTGAGGCAAGTGGAAGAACTGTAGTGATTTAAAAAGAAAGGACTGAAGAACAAGGACTAATGTGGGGTTTGGGATTTGGTTGGTTGTGTTGTTTTGTTGGGGGGGGGGGGGTGAGGTTAATGTTTGGGGGTGTTAAGGAGAGCTGAGTGCAATTCTTGCTCTGCTTTTGCCCTCACAGTACATAAGTAGCTGAGGGATTTGTCCATGTGAAAAGTGGCCTCTCCTTTGGCTGGAAACCAATCCCAGAGAATTTCAGCCCACAGAATCCGATACTCCTACTCATATTTAGTAGCCTAATGTCCCAAGTAAGCCCATTGGTATGACTCAGCACTAGAGAGGGAGCCAAAATCCAGCCCTGAATGTTTTTGAAGGTTATGAGTATGTCAAATAGGTTGTAAGAAAGAACTGCTTCTCCTTTCAGTCATGCTGTCTTCTCCAGGGAAGGGTAAGATGCTGCCTGAGAGAGTGCTTCTTCCTTTGTGTCTCCTCTCTGGACTTGTACTTGTCACTGCCCATTCTGGATGGGGCAATATTGGGTTCAACATCATCTCACAAAAATCTTACCCTTGTGCAATTTATGGAGCAGAAATAAAATCCCTTTATTAATTATTACTTATTGTTTATTACTTATTATTTATTAATTATTATTATACTATTTCTGTGACATAAATGCTCAGAGACTCTAAAGAGACTGAGCCCACCAGGCCATGGGATATTCATATCCAAAGAGTGATATGTCCATGAACTTGAGAGCTGAATATTATGCGATCATACGTAGGGTTGTGAGCAGAAGTCCATAGGTGGTATAGACTTTGAATGGTTGCATAATGATCTGATGAAAGTGGTAAGTTGTGGATTATATGTAAGGTAAGTGAGAGATGGGGTTATGCATGTGCTAGTGGGTAGCTGGGATGTTGGGATAGATAGCAGGTGAGCTTTGGTGCCATGTATGGGACTGAGGAGATCTGTGGAAGAGTATGAATGCATATGATGCTGTAGAATATATAGGCAAACAAACTGGACTTGGGGAAATTAGCTTCATTTATTACCAATAAAATCGAGTAGGATGATGAGAAATAAAACTGAATCTAAAAAATACCTTTTCCCCATCCCTCCCTTCTTCGCAGTCTTATCTTTATACTTGTTTTTTCTCTACTTCCTCACCTCTGCAAACAATGCAGGGGAATGAGGAAGGGGGGTTGTGGTCAGTTCATCATACTGTCTTTGCTAATCCTTCCTCTTCAGGGAAGGACTCCTCACACTCCTCCCCTGCTCCAGTGTGGGGTCACTCCCATTGCAGACAGTCCTCCATGGACTTCTTCAATGTAAGTCCTTCCCGCAGGCTGCAGTTCTTCATGAACTGCTCCAACGTGGGTCCCTTCCATGGGGTGCATCCTTCAGGAAGAGACTGCTCCAACGTGGGTCCTCTGCATGGCCACAGGTTCTGCAGCAAACCTGCTCCAGCACAGGCTTCCCACAGGTTACAGCTCCTTCAGGCATCCCTCTGCTCCCTGGCCCCTGTGCCCCCATCTGCTACCTAAATGTTGCCAGGCAAACCCAATACAGTGTCAGAGGATGAAAATCCCTTAAAAGAAAAGCCATGAAAAGAAGCATGCTCCTCCAGCTGACTGGAGTCAATCGACTTTAACCCACTCTAATATTCTTACTTTGATTTCCTTGGGAAATGAAGCCTAGCTGATAGTACGTATCTGTTTTGTCCATATGTTCTTCCAATAATTTTTCAATGCAACTAATTACAACCGCATTTAAAAGAGGGTGCAAGGCTGAAAGTAATTCATTCCTTTATGCATGTCTCCTCAAACCTGGTTATTTGGTAATGCCCCACTCCTTCACAGGGGAAAAAGCATGAACAACACAGGTGGTACCTGACAGCAGCCGGCCAGGCCAAATGGTGACTGCATTTTGCATTGCATCGCAACGTGCATTTTGGTCCACTAGGAAAGAAGCATGTGTTTCTAGGATAGCCATAGCATGCTGTTTCTTTTTCCTACAGATGTTACAGGGGATATAATGAGATGTGGCTTTCATTACAGCGGGATGAAGGAGGGATTTTGGAAACAAGAACCCATAGGGAAGCAGGCTTGGTGCATTCTGCTTGCAAGAACAGCTTGCTCTAGAGCAATACTTCTGGAGCAGCGTCATTAGTGATGAGAATCCCACACACCTTTCCTACCCATGCAAGCTCACCTTGTGTTAAGCACCTGCAACGTGTGAATTGGAGATTGGTACCCTTTGGCACTGGTGACCACAGTGAAGGAGGCAATGTGGCCCGAGGAGGGGGCACTGGGCTGTCACACTGCGTCCCAGGGACTGGCTTGTCATAGATTGCGCAGTCGCGCTGCCTCCATGTCCCCAGCTGCAAAAGGACACCCTTAGTGAAATGCCTGGAGAGTGACTGATGAAAAGCCCAGTGTGAATGTTAAGTAGTACTTCATTACTGCTGTTTCTCTCACCAGAGGCAATGATTTTAGGGGGCAATAGAGCTACAAGAGCTAATTACTCCTTAGGAAAAAAAATAGCTCATGCTACGTATGGTAGGAGGAACCTGTATTTGAAAGGAGAGGGGTAGTGGGAGAAGCCTTCTGTGAGCAAACAGTGGCTTTGCAAGCTAATTTCCTACACAGAAGGGTTCCTTCTGGTCCCTCTGAAATTGCAGGGAAATCATGGGAGATCCAGCAAAGATTGATGCAGCCTGATGCTTGCTATATTTTTCCTGGAGGCCTTGGCAGCTCTGTAACTAGGATCAGTGCATTCGAATCTCCCTCTGGCCCCTGTGTACTGCCCAGCAGTGACACCAGCACCAGAGAGACCCTTGCTTCAGAATTTGTCAAGCAGAACTCTGCTGAGAAACCAAACCTGCCCCACTGCGTTCCTTATTGTGGCAATGAGAGACATTCCTTTGCTGAATAAGCTCTCCGTGTCAGCAGGAGCCTTCAGGACTCCTGACCCTAGCGTACCTTATAGACCTGTAATCCAAGAGATACATTTGCAGAGGAATAAGGGAACCATATTTCTATAGCATAACATATATGTGTATTTATATATATATAAAAATAAAATAAATGAGCTGGCTTGCAACACTAGGTGGCAGAGGTGGGATCTTTTCTGCTCTGAGCGCTGTCCTATAAGGCATTGCTTGTTTAAGTACAGTCGCATTTAGTTGGAGCTGCAGGAGAGAGACAGAGAGATTCTCTGTGTTTACAGCCAGCGCAGGCTACGGCGAGCATCTAACCTGGACCCCCCCTTTCTCCAGCACTTGAAGGGGAGAGTGCAAGGCTATTTGGGAATCTGGGCACCACAGGTCAGCTTTCGCTGCGACTGGATTGTCAGAGCTGGTAAAGCAGAGCCCAGGGGGACTGAAGGGAGACACGAATCCCATTTTCTTTGAGAAGGGGGGTGAAAAAGAGAGGAAAAAAAGATAAATCGAGAGAGAAGCGAAGAGAAGGAGAAAAAGGCAGAGGAAGCGGAGAGAGTGACAGAGAAAGCATGAGGACCTACTGGCTGCACAGTATCTGGGTGCTGGGATTCTTCCTGTCCCTCTTCTCCTTGCAAGGTATGTGACGAGTTATTTCTTGCAATCTCCCCAGACCCTTCTGCTTGAATTGAGGCTGATGGACTGAGGATAGCCTGAAACATGGAGCTGGAAGCTAGGGCTTCCTCTCCCCCCTTTCTTCTCTATACCTTCTCCCTCCCTCAGGAAATAAGCCAAGGAGAGATCACTGCTGGTGAATCCTATGGTTAGAGGGCACTGCATGTGACTGACTTCGCTGCTGTATTTATGCTTTAGCAGAAGGGGGAGTTTGGGGGGGCACAGTGAGATTTGCAAAGAGGGGTGGGTGAAGGTGGGTACCCCCTCCACCCACAGCACTGTTTCTCAGCACTTTGGATCGCAAGTAGTAATGCTCCTGGATTCTTCACCTTCCTGAGGAATTCAACGTTAAGTTTCTTCCGTTGTTTTGTTTTGTTTTTTTTTTTTTCCTTCTGTTTTATTTCTATTTTGGTTTTGCCCAGAGAGGCTGAGGTTAGAGGAACCTCTATATCTGTCTGTAAAAACAGTATGTCCTTCCCTTCCACCACGGGGGGGGTGAAAGAGAGTGATGGAGGAAAGACGGGAGAAGCAAATTTGTTGGGTACGGGGTTTTGTTCAGTGGAGAACTGCCAGCTGGGTTTCTTGCCTGAAGAGCCAAGTGTGAGTATAGAATTTAGTTTGAAGTGATGACAGGCGTGCTAGCTGGTTTCGAGGTGCTTTCTGTAAACAGGAGTTAAGGGTTAATGCATCCCATGCTGTATGTCTAAATACGTCACGCATGTACATAGAATCATAGCCCTAAGAATCACAGCTTGGACATGAGCCACACTCACACAAACCAGTGGTCCTTCACACATACACATTCATGAATATAGCAGGGGAGATGAATAAACTCACTCTGGCACATACAGTTCTAGCTCCCTCGCGCATGCAATTCCTGGAGTGCCAGTCTGCTCTCTTACACTCACATCCTCTCTTCCTCTCTCCCCTCCCTGCCTCCTCCAAGCCTTTTCTTGTGCTCCCTCTCCATCCTGCATACTAGTGCTCGTGGTTGCTTGCATATAGAAATCCCTTGCTTATCCCGCTGCACCAGCCTTGCAAGCCTTCATGCTTACATGTACACACATACAGAGGTGAATATATAAATAAAGAACATATATGTACTCTATCTGGCCTTCCCTGTGCCTCATCGTATTCCATTTGCAGTGATACCCTCAGAGGGTATTCTCACTCTGTTTTCACCACACACACTGCTCTTTTCTCTCACTCTTGTTCATGCTAGTGCATGAGTGCCATGCATGTAGATATGCCCAGTCACAGCATCCTCGCTTCTCCCTAGCTCCTACTTTTACACACTGTCTTGCGTGTACTGTCCTCTTCTATTTTGTGTCTACTAAGCAAATTCCCATACAGCATGCTCCCCTGTCACACACATGCTTTCTGTTGTAGCCTGTCACTTACCTGCCACCACTACAAGCACTCACTATGAAACCCCTCTATTTTTATCACCTTCTCACATTTACTGAGTGTTCCTTTTCATACGGTCTCACTTCTGTCTCTGGTTTGCACACACATGCTTCTCACTGTCACATATTTTCTCTCAAACTTGCATTCCCTGATTGTGAATCCAGCACCTTCCAGCTGACTTCCTCTCTGTGAAGTGGCTATTTCTGACAGGGGAGAAGGATTTTCTCCCAGCACATCGGATGTATGTGGGGTGAGAAGAGAGACAGTACTACTTGTGTAACATAAGCTGCTAATGTCAGCAATGAAGTTGCATAGCGTGATGTGAACTTCCCCCTGCTCTTGAGGAATAGGCACAGACCTGTCAAGGAAGATGGACACTGGCAAATCACATCAACATTGGTTTTCTCACTGATGCATGTTTCCCAGCCTGTAGTCAATGGCGCTTGCTCCATGCAGTGTTTCCAAGTCAGAAGCCTTCCCTGAGTTGTGACCAGAGCATCCCGGTGCTAGCACAACCAGGAGCTGGTTTAACTCATTTCTTGTAACTGTAGCCTATGCCAGGCTCCAGGTTTTATCTTCTTTCAGTAAGTTACTATTACCATACTTACATCAGCCCCATCCATTCTGATTCTGGAGACATCAGGGAAGGGCTTTTGGGGGCAGTCGTATCATGTATCCTCTGAGAAGGCAGAGGCAATCCAGTTGCCTTGCCTGGGTTTTAGGATGGGATGGGGAGGTTGGAAGAATAAACCAGACCCAACCCACTGCTGAATCTAGCTTCATAGCCAGCAGTAATTTCCTTTCTGTGGTGCGGAGGGTAAGAGATGTAGAAACAGGGATATTGGGGCTGCATGGGAGGAGCAGGGCACCTCATTAGCAAGCCCAAAGACATTTGAAGTAGTTAAAAGGGGGTAGGAAAACATTATGCCCTTAAAAGAAAAACAACAAAACCACACCACTTATTTCTGATGAATTGTTAATTCATTGAAAGCTGTGATAACAAATACTGAACACTTCTGTAACCCTGCTGAGCACGACTCAGTGGAGCTCTTACCCTAGGAAACTGCAGCAGTGGCTCTGACAGGCAGTGACCCCAGTCGGATCGCTTCCAAGCGCTTTCTGAGAGCATTTCTCCAGAGCCGGCCAGCTGAGTCTGCGCCTCCGCAAGCTACCCAAAACTTGTCCGTGCCTTCTCTCCCCCTTTTTCTCACTGTCCGCTTGGGGGTGTACCGCTGAACGCAAAAGCAGCTCCTTGTCTTTTCCTGTTCTCCCAGTGAGGGGGTGAAGGGGAGCGATGCCAGCACTGCTGGCATGGCTGAGCTGAGGCTGAATAGCCCGCGATGGGAGTGCAGGGGAGGAAGCACAGCTGAGGCTGGCAGGAGACCTACAAGCTCCGCCGTGCCAAGTGGCCAACACAGGCTGCGTCCTCCTCCGGTGTCTCTGCCAGGGGATGTGCAATGGGTTGCCTGTCCCCCGCCTGCCTGGGCTCAGGAGCTTTGGCGCAGAGACAGGCTTTGCTCCTTCTCCCTTAGGTTAAAGCCTCCGAGTCCTTTACAGAGGGTTTTTAACGTTTTCTTTTCTTCCCTGATCCTGATTTTTATCCCTTTTCCTGTTTCCTTAATTTCGTGCTTCAGGATTCTCGCTGCTGCACTTTCAGTGCTCATTCCAAAGCAGGTGGCTCAGAGGCAGGAAGGTTGATCCTCCCGCTTGGTGCACTAGCTTTTGTGCCCTGTGGATTTGGAGGAATAAAAGTACCTACACACCCCAGCACTGCTGGTGGGTGGGATTTTTTAGTGGCATGCTGCAGCTTTCCCCTTGGATGGATTTATCTCTTAGAATGGCGTGCCTCGTAGCTTCTGATAAAAACCAGACTCTTGAATTAGACTCAAAAGCTCGATATTTCTTTTCTTTATTTTCCTCCCAGGTCAAAAACTGGGGGTATGGGGATAGTGGGGAGCAGCAAAAGATTTGGGTCTATCAACAACTGCATTTTGATGATTTACAGGAATTTTGTGTTGCTATTTTTGCTTTTGCTTACTATTATTTCAACTTAGCTGTCTATATGGAAAGCAATTTTGATTCTTGCCCTGAGCATTTGATTTAAAACATGAATGCAAACAAATTACACATTTTCTTCAGCATTGCTTTACATTGAAAATTCTTCTAAACAAACTCCCTTGAAGAATAACAGCTGCTTCAATTCAGCAATTAGCTAAAAGATCCCAGCTTGTTTTAATAAACCTCCCCTACAACCCCACTTCATTGGTTAATCGCAGGAGACTTTGTGCTTTAAAACAACCCAAATTAAGACACCTTCAGAACTAGTTTAGTGAAGGAGATGTTTTAAGAAAGGGCATGCAGAGCTGCTCTGTGCAGTACTGGCAGCTTCTATTTAGAATGCATCTTTTGAGCAGCTCAAGGGTGTTCACAAATGGGGACTAAGTCTGATGCAGGAAATCACAGCAGCACATGGGTAAGTGGAGTAGGTTGGCACACAGAGCAAATGTTATCTGTAAAGTCTCATGTTCTAGAATGTGACTGGGCAATGCGGGTGTGAAAAATGATGTTTGTTAATGTGTGAGGTTTGTCCAATCTATATGGATGGAAGCGGGGAGCCAAGTGTTTCAGTGCTGATAATGGGTAATGGATGGGGAGAGCAGAGGGAGGAGCAGGAATGTATGTGCAAGTGGTGACATTGTGGTGTTTGGGTAACAGTGTGTGTGGGGGGATTGTGATGCAGCTGGATAATGCTTAGATATTGCGGACTAGAGAAAAAAAGACTTTTCCTGCTCTCAGGAATATACTTTTTATCTCTGTTTTCAACTCTTTCTATCAAATAAGGCAGGAGAAACTCTCACAGGCTGGTCTGTATTGATGAGGTAACAACTCACTCAGGTGCCTTGAATTCCCTTAAATGATGAAGAGGTTCAATACCTAAACCAAAACACTTTTCTTGGAGGCTTAAGGGAGGGAAGAGCCAGAGAAGGCTTTTTATCTGCAAACAGGGAGCATTAAAATGATGTCCCAAGTGTTTCTTCTGGTCCTATCCTAGTGCTTGCAGACCATTTGAGTCAATAATTTCCACACCAATAAGGACCTATTTCCCCTAGCTGTTACAAACCTTAGCACTCAGCTAAGTACTCAGAGGGCTTTACTAAGATAAGTACAAATTTTCTTCATCTTTTAGTCTCAGATCTCCTCTTACACAAGGATCTCACTAGTCTTGTAGCAAACACCTTGGTCCCTATGTTTCTGGGTGCTCCTTCTCAGCCTGTGAGCACCCATGCATATGCTAGTGGCCTGAGGAGGAGATGAGTTCTTTAGGAGTTATTCTTTCCACCTCTTTTGACCTGTAAGCAATAGGGCTTCTCCTAAGGATTAGGATTCCGGGGTGGGGAATATGGCTGTTGTCATCTTAGTGTGATGTTAGAACCAATGCTTTGGAAGCTTGCATCATTATTGTGTGCTAGCTGTGTCTCCTGTAATCTTTTGGGTACACCAAGGCCCTTATCTTGGTGGTGGGGACTGTCCCCTTCCCTCAACTGATTTATCCTGTG